CCATGGAGGACAGGAGCCATGGAGGACAGGAGCACAGGAGCCATGGAGCATAGGAGCTCAGGATCCATGGAGCACAGGAGCCAGGCTGATTGCCAGGGGCTCAGTGCTGATGAGGGCACTGAGCTGGCACTCCCTGCTGGAAATCCTGCTCTGTGCCAGCAGGCTGGAATGCAGCTGGAATGCAGCCCAGGTTATGAGGAATAGTGTGTGAGCAGGGAAACTGAGGCACGTGTGGCTTCCCAAGTGTGTGCAGAGAGAAACCTTGGCAGGATAGACATGGAACAGGAGCAGCTGTTTTACAGTGCTGTGTCCTGTTCCCTAACCCAAATCATCCCTTTTGTGTTTAGGATATTCTTAATTTTCAGTGGGCAGTTGCACAAGTAACTGAGTGGGATTTTGCTGCCCAGGACTGAGGAACACACCCAGTGTCTCTGCTCGTGTGGTGACAGCAGCTTCGTCAGTGGAGACTTGATTTGCTCTTGGTCCACCATTCCCTTGAGGAAATCACTTCCCTGTGTGTCCATTATCCCTGGCTGAAAACTGGGGATGTGTTGTATTTCCTGTAAAACACACTGAGATCCATCAGTGTCAAACATCTGGTGAAAGTTGGGCATTACTGGTCCCAGTTTTTGCTCTCCCTGCCTGCAGGACTTATTTACATTCTGCCCCTTGTTATTATCTGTAATAGAGCCCCCACTCAAACCAAGCCCACTGCAGTATTGATGACACTGATTGCCTTTGGAACCATTGTGGGATTACATTTTTATGGGAGTGAGCAAAGCTGCAGAAAACCTGTTTGGTCTCCTTGACCATTTCCATCCTGTTGCTGTGACACCACCTCTCCTCTGCTCCCTTCCCAACCCAGACCAGCACATCTGGGGCAGTTTGGGAACTACAAAGGCAGCTCTTGACTTTTTGCTGTAAGAGGAGACAGGAAGACACATGTCAGTGCCCACACACACATGGATAGGGCATGGAGTAAAAATTAGTTCAGCTACTTGAGAGTATTTTCCAAAGTGTTTGACACCATCCCTACAGTTTAATCAGAACACTCCTGTACCCCTGGGCAGAGATCCTGCTGCTCTTAAGGCCCCTTTCCTTAGGAACAACTGGAGAATCCAGTAATTCTTTCCCCTCACAGTTTGGCTTTGCAAAGGCAGATGTGGAGTTTATAGTTTCTTGCCATGCTGTGGACTGTAGTTTTTGGGATTGTGCTCATGGCAGGCTGTGATTGATGTTGTCAATCTTGTGCAGGTGGGAGACATCGTGTCTGTCATTGATATGCCACCAAAGGAGCTGACCTCGTGGTGGAGAGGAAAACATGGATTTCAGGTAGGCACAAGCACCAGAGATGATGATAAAACTTAAATAAAGGCGGGAAATTCAGCTGTTTGTTCCTGGAGCTGCTGTGCCTGCAAGGATTGACTGTGGGGATGAGCAGGATGTCCTCGTGGTGTCAGGGCACTTCCCTTCTCCCTGGGCTTGGGCTGGAGACACCCAGGGACTCCATGGGAAGTTTGCTCCCTGCCTGCCATGGGAAGGAGGGCTGGCCATGGCCCTGTGGCCCTGTGATGGACAGCTGGCCTGATGTTTGTGGAAGCTCTGCTGTCCCCTCCAAGGCAGCTGACACTGTCGTTCACATCACCCTGTTCCTTCCAGGAGCTAAAACCAGCTCAGGCAGAACATTGAGGATTCAGAGAACTCCAGTTGACAAAACAGTGCCACTGCCTTGGACAAGCCACCCATCCAAGCTGTGCTCTCATGTCTTTGTTTGCTGGATGGTTTAAAGATTGCTGGGCTCTGTAAATCTTCCAGCATAGAGATTAACACTGAATTTTCAAAAGGTCCTAAACATACCTGGGAATTAGGTACCAAAACTTCTGTGTCCAAATGGCTCTGCCCTTCCAAAGAGTTTTATTCCCTAGCTTGGATTTTCTCATTGGGAAATGTAAAAGATAAAAAAGTCTCTGCTAACAAAGCAAAGCCCAAAGCTGCTGCAGGTTGGGGGGTGTGACTCCTGCTGTGTCTCGTGTTTCAGCTCCTTTCGGGCAGAGGGATTTTCATCCAGCAGCTGCTGTCTGTGAGGGGGTGGAATTATGAGTTTGCTCTGGAGAGGGTCAGAATTGACCAGACACTTGTGTATTTTGGCATGGAAAGTCTTCTCAAGGTTCCTCAGCTTTTCCCTGGCAGACCTTTCTGTGCCAGGTCCAGCCCGTGGCCCGGCTGTCAGGGAGCAGTTGAATCTCCAAACACTACAAATCCCAGCTGGATGCAGTGGCAGTTAAATGATCACATTGCTGCCTGCCCAGCCAGAGCTTTTGTTGGCTTTGGATCAGATGGGGAAGTTCAGATAACATCTCATTTGTACAATCAGAAAAGCATGGACATGTGATACCTGCTCTGAAATTAGATTTGTCTCTAGAGTTAACACATTGATATTACTTGGACAAACTTCTGGTTTTGAACTGTGTTATGGCTTTGCTGGACTTTTGTTCTAATTTTAGAAGCCTTAAAGCTTTATTTGCTGTACTATTAAATAGAATCATAGAATGGCTTGGGTTGGAAGGGACCTTGGAGATCAGCAGTTCCAACTCCCAAATATTAATTAAGTGCTTTAGTACTGCTTGGAATGATCAGGCCATGCCACATTTAACTTCCAAGTGAATCAGTAAAGCAAAATAAAGCTACTTTGTGATCTGGGCATGAGTGTGGACACTCTGCACACACTGATGGATTACCAGGGTTGATGATAATTCCATTATTCGGTGTGAGGTCCCTGCCTGCTGTCAGCCTGGCTGAAACTGGGACTAGGTCTGAAGAGTATCACTGGTGATTAAAGACATAAAAAGCAAGGCAGCTCTTCTGCAGTGTGTCACTGCCTTGTGCCTCCCAGCTCACATCCCATTGTGCTTTCCAGCACAAAAACACATTGATGAGACTGTGGAAAGGGGTTTCTGTGTCCGTGCACAGTCAGGCTCCTGACACCACAGACCTGAACAGCTGCAGAAATAGAGCACCATATTCTGGCTTAACAGAAAATTAGGGGTGTAATAATCTCGTGTCCTTAATTCCAAGCAGAAGTCTGTGCCAGTGGGATCAGGTCACCCTGAGCCTCACACTCTGTGCAGATGCAGCTCTGGGTTTGTGGCTCTCAGGGTGTTTCCCAAATGCAGACAGTGGAGTTGTGTTGGAAGGAATTGCTGGTGGGGGAACAGACAATTGTTGTGTTCCTGCTCCTGCTGGTGCAGAGCAGCTCGGTGAGTGCTGATTAAAGCCATCCCTTCACACACAGGGAGCTCCCCTGCACAGGGGCATCTTCCCTGGGAACTGCCAGGGTTTGGCCATTCCTCTGAAATGCACTTCCCAGCTTTTCCTGGCTGGGAAGCACCATCAGCTCCCCAGAGATGCAGATTCTGACCCTGTACAGACACAGAGGGGTTTTAACCTGTGTTGTGTTTAAGGCCCATAAGCTGTGACTGTCCATAAAAGGTACATTTCCTGAGCTAATGGAGCTCTTTGACCATACTAACAGTGAGAAGAGAGTTCAGAGAAAGGAAATTCATATCTGGTGTTGCTACACCAGACCTAGAGATGTAGCAGTACAGAAGGGCCCTGGATGAAGAGTGTGGAGGGGAAGAATGTTGTTATAGTACTTGGTGTAAGTACTTTATGATAGGCAAACAGTTCTGTTCCTGTTTAGGAACACTGTAAAAGTGATAGCAATCTGTTGAGCCAGTCATTTGAATTAATCAAATAAATCACCAGAGCCTGTCTTGCCAGATAATCGTGATTCTGAGGGCAGATAAAAGGACAAAGTCCTAACACCAAATATTTGGACAATTTGTTCATGTTATTTCTCAGGTTTTTGCTCTGTGCTAGGGAAGGAGCAGTGTTTTATCAAACCCACCACAACTTCCATCATCAATCATGTCTTGATAGGAGGAGAGCAAGAAGAGGATAAAAAATCCTCTGTTTCACTGAACGGGGGAAAAATCACATCTTGACTTGAAAGAACTCCCCTGGTTTTGTGCATTTGGAGCAGTTGTGGGTTGTGCCTGCCCGGGCAGGAGGACAGTCAGTCCTGGGCAGGGGATGTCCTGCCCATCCCCATCCTTTGGGATAATGGGGGGGCTCTGGGGATGGGCTGGAGGCAGGTCAGTGGAAGGCAGGTGTGACAGCCTGTGTGAGCTGCAGTGGATCCCTGTGGGGGTCAGTGTGTTCCTGCCAGGCACAACTGTCCCTCGGGAATGACTCACCATTCCTGTTGTCCATAGATTTCCATGGTACAGTGCCTTTCTCCCCTACCTGAGCTCACAACTGCACTGCAACACTTAATCCTGTGCTAAACAACCCACGAGGCTTCGTATCATCTTCTCTCGTTAAAGCAAAATGATTTTAAAGACATTTTTCCTCAAGCCTTTTTTCTCTTCAGATGCTCTGAGTGTGAGTCACTGCTTTCTTTGTAAGATTGTTCCCTAAATTACAGCCACCTCCACATTAACAGCCTTCCAGCCTTCTTTGTTCTCCTCTGCCTTTGCTTCATGCTTTGTCCTTTCCATCAGTGACTCCGTGTCAGCTGAATCATTAAGGACAGGCCCTTGTTTGATGCACAACTGCTTGTGGATGTTCTGAGTCATTCTGGTTTTTGGGAATGGTTTCATGAGGGGCAGAGCTGCCCCACAGCAACTTGTGAGGTGACAAAACCAGTATGTGCAACCAGAGGAGGACTGGGCTGCTTTTAATCAGGATTACAGGAGCTGGAGAGGCTGTGGGGCTGCAGGGCCCTGCTTCCACAGAATCCAAAATGCTTGGCTTGAAAGGGACCTAAAGATTGTCTAGTTCTGATGCCCTCCCACCAGCCCAAGCCCTGTCCAACCTGGCCTTGGGCGCTTCCAGGATGGGGCAGCCACAGCTTCTCTGGGCAACCTGTGCCAGGGCCTCCCCACCCTCACAGGGAACAATTCCTTCCCAATATCCCATCTAACCCTTCCCTCTGGCAGTGGGAAGCCATTCCCCCTTGTCCTGCCACTCCAGGCCTTGTCCCAAGTCCCTCTCCAGCGCCAGTTTCCCCAAGTGCAGGTTGCACACCAGGCAGGAATGGATCATTGGCAGCTGTCATCCCACACAGATTTTATTTGTTTGTGAAGGAAAGAATTTGGAAGAGTTTTTTGGCCAAAGTGTTCATCTCCCTTTAACAAGGGCTCAGGGGTTTGTCCTGCTCTCTGGGAAGTCACTTGGCAAACAAAGCAGTGAAGATTCTGCTCAGGAAGGCCAAACAGCTGATAAAAAGTTAAGGATAAAACCTAACCCTATTAGATTTTGCTTGACTTTCATCAGATTTAAAAGGAGGACACTGACTGAAATTTAAACCACACTTTACATTTTGTCAAAACAAAAAAACCCCCACAACCAAAATGTCTCAAACAATGTTTGACTTGCCATTTATATTGCTGCTGCTTTCTCACTTACTTAAATTCCCTCCTCATACGCTGAAAATTATTACTGTTAAATTATTGTTATACTGGAAAATTATTCCTGGCTTTTCCCCTTAAAGCCTTGTGTTACTTCCAGTTTTAGAAGCCACTGGCATGAAAGTGAAAAATAAATCTGTAGTAGCAATTGCAGAACTGTTTGCACCCCCAGCCTGTGCCTTCCCCCTCTGGTTAAGGTGTTCTTTTAACCTTTAGATGACCTTGTATTTATCTAAATTTATACTCCCCTGGCTATTAATTTTCGGACATTGCCAAATCCTTTAATCCTGGCTCAAGCTCTAGTAGTGCCTTGCTGCATCTGTTGAGATTAACTCTTGGACTAAACTCATTTATTTATACAAAATCATGGAAAACTTTCCATGGGAGGAAAAGCATCTTTTAATTGGGTGGGAATGAGGCACAAACTGTGGGTTGTGACCCTGGTGATGGTCTCTGGGGGATCTTGAGATAAAAGTTAGAATAAATAAGTCAGAAAATGTAATTCATTGGACTGTGAGCAGTGAGGTAACAACAGGGAGCTTGTCAACACTAACACATGTGAAAATTCTTTTTCCCTAAAAATCCATTGTCATTATTAGTGTGAACATGGCAAAAGTGCTACATTGAGAGCAGGTATAATGTTTGATTTGGGTTCTGAGCTATCTAGAAGCAGTGACATAACCATGCAGGGTCTTTCATTTCTGAATTCCTGTTCAGTGTATTGGATAGTCCATCAAGAAACAGGAGGAATATTATGTTAACAGTCAAAAGAAATGAGTTTTGATTGCAGTGTGGGATCTGGGGTTGAATTTACATCCACACTTACATGATTAATGGAAGGTTGGGGGCCCAGTGCTTCAGGTTTCTTTACACATCCCAGGCACAGACATTGTGGGCAATTATAAAAGTTCTCAGAGCATTGGAAATGGAAAGTTCATCCCTTCAGCTGTGGAGCCTCTCAGATGATCATTTGTGTGGTGGGCTGAGACTTTCCCTGGTTGTGTATATTTTTCCTAATTTAAAAATTGTCTCCTGCATCTCTTGCATGGGAAATGTCCAACAGAGACTCTCAGGATTGAAGTTGGGGATGTTCAACCTGGAGAAGAAAAGGTTATGTGGAGAACTCAGAGCACCTTCCAAGTGTCTCAGTGGCTCCAGGGGAGCTGGAGAGGGAATGTTTTCCAGGAACTGTGGTGACAGGACAAGGGAGGATGGGTTTAAACTGACAGAGGGGAAATTTAGCTTAGATATACAGAAGAAATCCTTCCCTGTGAGGGTGGGGAGGCCCTGGCATAGGGAGAAGCTGTGGCTGCCCCATCCCTGGAAGTGTCCAAGGCCAGGTTGGACAGGGCTTGGAGCCACCTGGGCTAGTGGAAGGTGTCCCTACCATGGCAGGGGGTGGGACTGGAGAAGCTTTAAGATCCCTTCTAACAAAACCATTTTATGATTCTGTGATTTAAAGCCCTGAATATTTTTTTTAAATCCCAGCACTTCTGTGTCTGTCCCACTCAGCCTGTTCCTCAACAGCTCTCAGCAGAGCAGGATCTCTGAGCTGCCTGAGGAAGGGCCCCTGGATGCCATGCTGGGGTTTATGCTGTTTTTCTTGTGCTAATTGTCCTATTGCTACCTATAAACTGCCCAAAGATCAGCACTATGGCATATAATTCCAGGATACCATCTCCTGGCAAAGCTGGCACACCCAACTGAGGGAGTGGGTGCAGCCACACCTTGTGTAGGGTGTGGGATGGGCTCTGAGAGTCACTTGGGCAGAAATGTGATGCCCAGGCCAGTGCCAGTCCCAGGAGCCACAGCTTGAGGGCAGGGAGATCTGCTGACCCAGTGCTGCTGTTCCAGGTGCTGTTCCTGAGCTCCCAGAGTCTTCCCAACAAGCACATTCCAAGTGTCACAGATGACAGTTTGTCCTGTACTTGGTTAAAACCCTGCCCTGCTGGATTTGGGGGTGTGGGAAGAACAGTTATCTGCTGGTACTATTAACTGTTGCTTCCCTTAGGGAATCTGGAATAGTTCCAGTCTGGAATGTTTACCAGGACACCCCACACATGACACTGCCACTGAATTGCTGGGAGGTTTATGGGGGAAAATCAACTTGGTGTAGAAAGGAGATGAATTTTTTTCCTCAGAGACAAAAGGGAGTTGTGTAAGATGAATAAATAGAGGAGGAACTGTGTGCCAGGCCTGGTGCTGACTGCCTTGTGCCTCCAGTGGATTTCATGGATGTGGGTACATGACTGGCAGCGTCCAGGCCCATCCACTGGCTCTTTGCCATGTGTTCCTGTGGCTTTGGACCAAACTGTGGCTGCCTGCAGTGACTTGGTGCTTCTAGCTGCCCCATCACGTGCCTGACACGGGCCAGGAAATCCTGCCCCTGCCTTGGATGAGGTGTCTGGGGAGGGGGGTGGTGCTGGAGTTCTGTGCCACAACACAGGAGCTGTCCTGGGGGAGGAGGTGGGGTATGACAGGGAAAAAGGTCTGGAAATATGAAACCAAGGGTAAAAGTTTCCAAAACTCTGCTCTGGTCTGACTTTCACCTGGGATGGGAGTAAGAAGGAAAATGCTGTGACCTAGAAATGCTGAGAAGTGGAAAACTCCTCTGTGGTGACAGCTCAGCCTGGATCCTTAACCAGAGAAAGGGAGATAATGCCACTGCTCCCCAGATACAGCGAGCCACGGGTGGCCTGGGAATGTCTGCAGGCACATCCCATTCCAACACCAGGATCCTTCCCATACCCTTTCACCCTGCTCTGGTTTAGAGACATTCTGCAGCATTTTTGCCTTAGAGGGGATTCAGGGAGAAATCACAGAAGGTGGAATATGCTGAGTTGAAAGGGACCATCAGGATCATTGGGTCCAACTCCTGGCCCTGCACAGGACTTCCCAGGAATCCCACCCTGGGATTTCCATGTCTTTCTCCCAAAAAGCAGTTCCTGTACTTGAGGGTAGGACACGAGCTGTTTGTTAAAGGACAGGGCAGGAACTCTGCAAATTCACGTTTCCAGTGAGTTGGTGCCAGGACCTTGCTGTGCCCTGGGCACTCAGGTTCCTCCTGTCACAGGAGAAGCTGCACTCAAAGGCTGGCAGATTTTTTTCCCCAGGGTGGGGCCTGGCTTTTGAAGCATCTTCAGATGTTTCCTAAGGACAATTCTGGAATATTCTGTGTGTTACAGCTTGCTGAGCAGATCCACAGCTAGTTCAGAGGGTTCAGCAGCTTGCAGGGGGTGTTGGAGCTGTTTTCCCAGTTGCCAGTAATGGATATGGATGGGTGGCACTGTTCTCCCTTCTCCTTCGCTGGGGAAAGCTGAGGCACAAGAGTTGCACTGTCCATGATCCAAAGCAGATCCAAGAGCACACCAGGAGTCCTGGCTTGTGGTAGAGATTCCTTTGCTGCATCCTGCTCTCCTCTAAATATTTTATTTCCACTCAGATCCCTGGATTCCTACAAACATAGGACTCATTTCACTCCATGTATATTTTATTAAACTTGTTCTCAGTTCTAGGACTGAATTGAATTCAATTGCACTAAACCCTCACTGAACTTCTTTAGCAGGTTTTTAAATGTGCTCCATTTGAACACTTCCCTTGTTACCCACACTGAGCAGGTCAGGCAGTGAGGCAAGGACACAGCAGAGCTTTGTGTCTGCAGAGTGCCTTCTCCTGACTTAGCAAATAAGAAAGCACCTTTTTTTCTGTAATGGGACCACACCATGCAAATTCATTGGTCCATATTTGATTTCAGTTTTCTAAGGGGATAAAATGTTAAAGTGCTTGTGAGTGTTGTGTTTTGGCAGTGAAAAAGGTCAGGTGTCAGTGAGGTTTGAGTAGAGATAACTGAGGTGATGCTGAGAGCTGACACATCTTGTTCTCTCATTAAATTTCTGTCAGAGACCTCCAGCAAACCCAGCTAAAGCCTTTCTGTCTGAGTTCCACTCGAGATCTAAGGGGGTGTAGACACTTGGTGCAAGTTGAATATCTCTGTCCTGTGTACAAGCTCAGAAACCAAACTTATAAAATCATATTTTACAGGGCTAATGATTTGGTTTGTAGAACTTTTGGCTTTTTTTGATAAATACTAAATAACTGTAGTAACTAATTTGAGAAGTTATTTCTCTCATGCTGGTCATTTGATGATGGATAATGTTATGGGGCATCAGGCCAGGGGAATTCAGGGGACATATTGAATTAGCAGTTACTGGTTGAACAGTTCAGATCATACACCCAATGTTCTGCCTCCTTGTGTTTCCCCACAGGTTGGATTTTTCCCCAGTGAGTGTGTTGAACTCATTAACGACAAAGTTCCTCAGTCCGTGACCAACTCGGTGCCCAAACCAGGTATGGAAATCTCCTTTTTGGCTGCAGGGACCTGAAATGGAGCTGTCTTTGTGCTGTTCTGTGTCCAGTATCTCCTGTACATTATCATATGTGCTGATCACCCTCCACACGTGCCATGTTCCCTCTGTGTTGGTCACCCACATTTCCTCTCCCACTGTTAAATGTCTTTCCTTTGTTGTGTCAACTCACATCAACGTCCCTCTCCTGCCTGACTTGAGAGATTTTAAGCTTGTAAAGAATTTAAGATACTTTGAGCAATCTGTAATTGAGATTTCAGTTCTGGTGTGCAGAGAGTGTTGCATGTCAGGTTTTTTTTGTTCAGAACATACACGAACAGAATGTTTTTGCTGACTGAGGTGGAATAGATTAATTTGGTACTGGAAGATTCCTTGTGTTTGAGGATTTATGGAGAAAGTTGGATATAACAGAACTTGGAATGCTGATTGCTGTGCTCTGGGTGTGTGGCTCCATCTACTTCTCCCTGCCTTCTGGACAGTTCTGTGTGAAATACAGGCAAGTTAATCCCAAGCTCTGCTGAGGAAAGGAATAATAAATAGAGAATGAGATTTTGGATCTGATTTTACTGTCAACCTTCCCATGCTTCCAGTGTGCCCTGGAAGGGATCACACTTAGTTGTGCTGCCTGAGATCTCTGCAGAAATTACTGGAGGTGAAGCTTTTGTTTAATTCTGAAATTTCTAAATCTATATATTATTATAGATAAAGATATTTCTGTATATCTTTTGTATCAAGAGAAGCAGTTTGAATTTGCAGATCTTTCTTAAAATGTTATTCAGCTGGCAAGTTGAGTTGGTGTTGAACTGGTGTTCTTTTCATTACTCTTCTCTATTTCGGTGGTGTTCCTTATCTTAGAAGATTGCTGACTTGATACTTTAAGACAAATAGATGCAATTCAGAAGTGTGTCTTTTTCTAAGGGAAATAAATGTATTTTATCAGATCAAAGCTTGGGAGTTTGGGTCCAGTGGTGGAAAGTCGTGGTCCTGAGCTGTGAGTGCTCTGGGTGTGCTCAGGAGAGCTGGCAGTTCAGGGGAATGGTGTTCCCAGCCACTGGCACCTCCAGCCTGTGTATTCCTGGGAATGTGCAGATGCATTTGCTGCAGTCAGTGGCACAGGGATCCATGGCTGCAGCAGGTGGGCATTCCCTGGATCCAGGATCTGCTCTCCAGGCAGGGCGACTTCAGGCAGGGCAACTGCCCAACCCTAGAGCAGGCAGGGGCAACTTTAAATGTAAAATAACCACAGGCCAGGCCAGTGGATCCCACCATGAGCAAGGGTTTATTTTTATACCTGGCTCAGGCAGGGGATTAGCTGGAGCTGCTGGGGAGCAGTGTCTGCTCTGCCCTGCTGGGAGATGATGGACCTGCACATGAACAGATCCCCTTTGGCTCTGACAACCCCTGGGGTGGATCTCCTCCCTCAACCTGGGAGATGTTTGGTATAAAGTTGTCACCAAGAGCCCAGGTCCTGTTCAAAGTCCTGAGCTGGGAGATGCTGCCCAGTCTGAGACTGCCCTGCTGCCCTGCCCTGGGGCTCTCTGGGGGTGCAATTAAAGGCTCCTCAGGAGAGCACTAATGAGCTTCCAGATGTGAGGAATGCTGGAGTGATGGTGCAGCTCCTTCTGTGATCCTGACCTGCCCCTGCTCTGCACACAGATTCCTGGTAGGATCTTTTTGGTGCATTGTGTGTTCTTGCTTTTCCTCCTGGGAATTAACAGCTCTTGGGTGGGGGAGGAGGAGTCTGGAGACTCTTCCTTGAATGCTGCAGAAGTTGGTGGGAGCAAGAAGGAGTCAGGGAGGAGGTTCCCACGGTTAAGGCTTGTTGGATGTGGTGCTGGAGACTCAAGGAATTCTCTGCCTGGAGGGAAAGTGCTTGTGAAATCCAGGAGGGTGAGAGGATGGAGGGGAGGAAGGAGCTCCAGCTCCTGGGCTGTCATGTACCAGCACAGCCCAGGAAGGTGACACGGGGCAGAAGTAAAGTGCTGGAGCACCCTGAGTGGCTTCAGGAGCACTGCTGCCAAATGGGAAAGTGGATCTTCCCAAGGGCATCCTCCAGAGCCTCACCAGGAACGGCATTGCCATTCCAATATCCATGGCATAATAATATCCAGTATTCATGGGATAATGCACTTCCCTCACCCATATTCCATGCATTTCATGTGTTCTAATCCATGGCTTAAACACACAGGGGGTTTCTCATACACTTAAATATCCACATCAGTTATTTCCCCTCTTTACCTCTGTTTAAAATACCAGATTGACTTTTCCCAAGGATCAGAGACTCCCCTAAAAGTCTCACTTGGAGCTGTTGTCCTCACTTGACATTATCAGGGTTATTTCATCTTGAATTAATGGGAAGTTTTAGATCTGGCCTTGATAAGCCCTACTTATAACAAGCCAACTCTATTTTCTTTAATCCAAATATGATGTGCAGAGCATCCAGGACACTGTGTCTGCAGAGTGAAGCTCTTTGCCACTAAGGAATTTCCAAGCACATGCTGGTTGACTGTCCCTGGATCTGGCTGGGCTGAGGAACCTGATGAAAAGCAGATGGAAAGCAAAGAACTTCCTACCCTGGGTTTCTATTATTATTTCTAATTAGAGGGTTTGATGTGCACAAGTGGTGGGGACAGCATTTTAATAGAGCCATGAAATATTGCAGTGGGCTCTAATGCAGTTCAGATGGGAATGGAACACAGGGAATGGGAGAGGAGGGTTGGGATTGAGGGCAAACTCTACTTTTAAACACTTTTTCACTGCCTGTGGAAGGATATGCTTGCACCAGTGGTGGTGCAGCCAGGGCTGAGACAAGGGAGAGAAAATGGACCATACAGGAAAACGTTTTTCAATTCTGAACAGTCAAAATAATAAGAAAGAATATTGGTTTTGCCTTGAGTCAACTATGAAATGTATTTAACAATGAAGTTTGTATTCAGGAGGTGCTGGAAGGTACCTGTTGAGTGGTATTTGCCCCCAGTATTGGGCTGAGTCTGTGCCCTTGTTTTGTTCATGTTCAGTCCTGTAAGAAAATGGTTTTTTTTTTCCAGTTGGGATGCAAACTGCCTTCCTGATTCTTTCAGTTTATGTAAAAACCCCTGTAAAGATCCAGTAAGGTTCTGTGGGCTCATCAAACCCCACATTTATTGAGCACTTTCCTTTTTTCTGAATTCTTCCACTATTTTTACTCAGATACAATACTGTAATAACTTCTCAGCCTAAATTGTTGTATTGGATCCATAGCTAATATGTCCTAGCTGATACTGCCAATTTAGCTGACTTTCAGTGCCACAATAGATGGAATCAACTCATGTTTAGGAAGATCTTTAGAGATCCAGGATAAAGGTTGCATTTGAATTTTAGATATTTGGTGAGAAATGAATCTTTAAAATATTCATTGTGCTGCTCAGAAGGAAAAATGGGAATTGCTGCTCTGTTTGTTCCTTCTAAGTAACGTTTGGGCATTGCCTGTAGGTTCTGGCTGTGTTGACTCTTCCCGTTCCCTTCTGTCCATCTCTGGTTGGTCTTTTTTTGGGAACAGTGTGTTTCTGTCTGTGTGTTCACATTGTCCCCATTCATCTTCTTGGCACAGGCAGCAACTCCTCAGCTCTCTGTCCCAGTCTGTCCTCTCTCGTAATTCTGGATAGTCTTAGTTTAACAGTATTTAACCCCCATCTCATCCTCCCCTCACACATCACTTTGTTTCCTGTCTTGTCCTAACAAGCAGCGTCTTGCTGGGACCAAACTTCCCTGCAGGGGCCTTGGGGGGGTCATTTGGGGGAGGTTCTGGACACAGTTCTTGCTGGGGAGCAGCTGATTTCAGTGGGGGAACACAGAATAAGGCTGCACCTTGCACTGGGGCTCTCAGAGCTGAAGGGAAGAAATGGAGGAGAAGGAGGTAATATCTCACTTTTTTTGCCCTCCACTCCAAAAAAATCAGCATTTTTAAAGCTTCAGGGGTCCTTCTCACCAGTTCCTCAGACTCCTTTAGGACAAAGAATGAATAACCCAGCAGCTCTGCCAACTTTATGGAGGAGTTTACAGATTCCTGTCTCATCCTCTTATTTAATTTAGGTTTAACAGGTAAAGACACTCCTACAATGCCGGACTAAGGACACAGTAAAGGGGACCTGTCAGTATTACAAGCTGCTATAAATGACTAATTTTCTTTTTTAAAACATCAATAACAGATTTATCCAGGTCAGCACACCCAGCACAAATAATCCACTGAACTTCAGGAGGACTGAAATTTAGGTCTGGCTCAGCAACAGGCTCTGTCCTGACCTGCTGCAGACTCTGGGCAGTGCTGAATGAATTCATTTTAACTGCAAAGATGCAAATTGAGTTACATTCACTGTGTTAGAGCTGTTGGAATCAAAACAGGCTCCTCAGAGCCTGGCTGTGGATTAACAACCGGGCTAAAAAAACAGGATAAAAAACATTGTGATTGGGTTTTTATTTTAATAAAAATGGGGAAGAAGAAGAAGGTGCAAATAAAACTTAAATTCTGCCTGGGTTGAACAGCCATTTGACACCAATGAGAGCATCATGTCTTAATTAGTGCTTTTATAAGGAAAATATGGGAAGTTAAATGGACATAATTAGTACCAGCCTCGTTAATCTGATGTAAACAAACCAGTTGTTTGGCGTTCATGCAACTGTCTCATTAAAGCTGAATCAAGTGCAAATTTATTGAGCCAGGACAGGCATCCATGTCCAGCAGGGTAACAGGGAATGAGCTCAGGGCTGCCAGCAGGAGACACAGACTGTGCTTCCAGGGCTGCCAGAGCTCAGCACTGATCCTGCAGGAATCCTGGTCCCTGGCAGAGCTCAGCACCGATCCTGCAGGAATCCTGGTCCCTGGCAGAGCTCAGCACCAATCCTGCAGGAATCCTGGTCCCTGGCAGAGCTCAGCACCAATCCTGCAGGAATCCTGCTCCCTGTGCTCCTGCAGGGCTGGAGCTCAAACAGATTCCTCCTCCCTCA